TCTGAGAAAGAAGAAATATGAGCTTACTGTATTTCTTCTCCTCTCCATTATTATTTTGTGTGCAGCATCGCCTGCTTTTCAGATGCTCATTCATTACCACCTATTTGCTAGCTTTCATAAATGTCAGACTCTACTGCCTGTGTTTTAGCTCACAACAAGTCCTGTTCCCCTATCAATCATATGGTGCAAGATCAAATACCGAGAATACCTACATTGGCTTCCTGTCAAGCAAAGTCTTGGTTTTAACATTGTCAATATTAATTTCAAATCCTTCTATGTATTCATAGAACATAGAACAGTACAGCACAGTACAAGCCCTCTGGCCCACGATGTTGTGCCGAACTTTTACCCTAATCCTAAGGTCTATCTAACCTCCACCCCTACCTTATACTATCATCCATATGCCTATCTAATAGCCGCTTAAATGCCCCTAATGAGGCCGACTCCACCACTCTCTCCGGCAATGCATTCCACGCCCCTACCACTCTCTGAGTAAAGAACCTACCTCTGATGTCTCCCCGATATCTACCTCCTTTCACTTTAAAACTATGTCCCCTCGTAATAGCTACCTCCACCCTAGGAAAAAGTCTCTGGCTGTCTACTGTATCTATACCTCTGATCATGTTGTACACCTCTATCAAGTCACCTCTTATCCTTCGTCGTTCTAAAGAGAAAAGGCCTACCTCTCTCAACCTTTCCTCGTAAGACCTTCCCTCCATTCCAGGCAACATCCTGGTACATCTCCTCTGCACCTTTTCCAACGCTTCCACATCTTTCCTGTAATGAGGCGACCAGAACTGGATACAATACTCCAGATGTGGCCGAACCAGAGTTTTGTATAGCTGGAGCATAACTTCACGGCTCTTGAACTCAATCCCTCTATTAATGAAAGCTAACACCATACCATATTCACCCCTTCCTATCTCTGCAATTCCTTCAGTCCCATGACATTCTAGGATCACAGTGCTTGTCTCATTCTGGTCTCTTGTGTATCCTGATTTTTAATTATTGGTCCCTCATTCAGTGCTTAGATCCTAAGTTATAGAGTCATAGAGTCATACAGCACGGAAACAGACCCTTCAGTCCACCTTGTCCATACTGACCAGGTTTACCAATGTAAACTAGTCCCATTTGCCTGTATTTGGCTCATATCCCTCTAAACCCTTCCAAGTCATGTTCCTGTCCAAATGTCTTTTAAATGTTGTAACTGTAGCTGTATTTACCACTTCCTCTGGCAGTTCATTCCAAATATTAACCACTCAGGTCCCTTTAAATTTTTCTCCGCTCACCTTAAAAATATGTCCTCTAGTTTTGAACTTCCCTACCCTAGGGAAAAGACACTTTAAGGTTATTCACCTTATCTAAGCCCCTCATGGTTTAATAAATCTCTCTAAGGTTAGCCTTCAACCTCTCCTATGCTCCAGCGAAAAAAATCCCAGCATATCCAGGCTCTCTTTATAACTCAAACCCTTGTCCCAGCAACATCCTGGTAAATCTCTTCTGAACCCTCTTCCATTTAATAATATTCTTCCTACTGCAGGGTGACCAGAACTGTACACAGTACTCCAAAAGTGGCCTCACCAACATCCTGTTCTTTATATAAATGACAAACAACAGTGGGCCTAGCACGCATCCCTGCGGAACACCACTGGTCACAGGCCACCTGTCCAAAAATCAAGACCCCAGCACCACCCTCAGACTCCTCCCATCAAGCTACTTTTGTATCCAATTGGCAAGCCCTCCCCGAATCCCATGTGATCTAACTTTACTAAGTAGTCCACCAGGCGGAACCTTGTCAAAGGCTTTACTAAAGTCCATGTGGACTACGTCTACTGCTCTTCCCTCATCTATCATTTTGATCATGTCCTCAAAAACGCAATCAAGTTTGTGAGACATGATTTCCCACACATAATTATCCTGTTCAAAGAAGAACAGGGATTGGTAGAGCCATAGGCTGGAACCAGCACTTCAAAAACCTTCTTTAGAAAAGGCAGGCTTCTCTGTATATGTATTTTACTTTGATATCAAAGAATCTAGAAAAAAGAGATTCACCAAAGAACAGTTTGTTCTGGAATACCCTCCTTGCATTTCTCCCCTATCTACCTGGCCGCCATTAAATATATGTTTAGGCCTTCAGGATTTAGAGAGGGCATTGGCTGTTGTGTCAAACTCTTAAATAGCATAGCAGGTGTCAAATGAGTGCTGCAATCTCCCATTTATGCTCAGTTCCAAGTACTCTTTCCTCTGCCATGCCCTTTCACCAAAGGGTATCTGTAGACTACATGGGAAATCGCAGAATAGTTACAGCGCAGAAGGAGGCCATCTGGCCCATTGTGTTTCTGCAGGCTCTTTGAAGGAGCAATTCACCTAATCCCACACTCCACCCTCTCCCTGTAGTTCTGAGCTTTTTTCTTCTTTTTCAGATAATGATATAATTCCCTGTTGAAAGCTGCAAGTAACTCGCTCCCTTCCAGCCTCTCAGGCAATGCATTTGACATACTACCCATCACTGCATGAAAACATTTTTCCTGGCGTCATCGTTGTTTCTTTTGTGAATCATTCTAAACCTGTGCCTTCTACATCAATCTTTCCACCAGTGAGAACAATTTCTTCATATCTATTATGTCCAAACCCTAATTGCATATGACTACCTCTATCAAATCTCCTCTTGACTATTCTCTCCTCCACAAAAAAAAAGTCCAACTTCTCCAACCTTTCTACAGAATGGAAATTCCCTATTCCTGGGGTCATTTTTATGAATTGTTTCACAACTTTGTTGCTTTTTTACTCTAAGTATTTAATGATATAGTCCAGGTTGCTGTATCCTTTAACTGCCCTCTGAACTGTGTCATCCCTTCAACAATTTGTGCAGATAGACACACAGGTCCACATCCTATTGCACCCCCTTTAGAATTTCACCCTTCATATTACAATATCTGCCTGCATTCTTCCTACTAAAGTGAATCACTTCACATTTTCTGCACTAAATTCCATCTGCCAAATACCTACACATTCCACCAACCTGACTGTCCTTTTGAAATTCTTCACGATTCACAATAGTTGATTAACATTGGTTCACAATAATTTCAAATTTTGTATCATTGACAAATTTAATTTTACCCTGCACACCAAAGATCATTAGTATAACAGGAAGAATAAAGTTCCTAATACCAATCCCTGGGAAATCCCACAATAAATATTCCTCTGAACTGAAAACAATCATTTAGGATGATTTTCTGCATTCTGTCACTGAACCAAATTCATATCCATGTTTTTGCTGTCCCTTATTCCATGAGCTCTAACTTTTCTCTCAAGTCTGTTTTGTGGAACATTATCAAATGTCTCGGGAAGTCCGTGCACATCACAGCAACAGAATGACTTTCATCAATCCTTTCTGTTACTTTGTCAAAAAAAATCGAAAGTTAGTTAAACACAATTTGTCTCAGCAAATCCATTCTGCTTTCCCTAATTAATCCACATTTATCCATGTGGCTATTAATTTTGTTCCAAATTGTTATTTCAAAAATCATTCCCCACGCTGAAGTTAAACTGAATATAATTATTGGGCTGGCCTTAACACCTTCTTCGAACCTTGGCATAACATTTGGAATTGTCAAGTTCTCTATCACCATTCCTGAGTCTATGAAAGTTGGAAAATGAAGGTCAGTGTCTCTGCAATTTCCAATGTCACTTCTTTCAGTAACCTTGGATACATTTCATCCCATCCTGGTGCCTCTAAGTACAAAAAGCCTGTCCAATACTTCCTCCTTATCAATTTTACACCCTTCAAGTGTCTTTCACTATGATCTGAGCAGCATCTTCTTTCTTGACAAAGACAGATGCAAGTATTCATTTAATATTCAGCCATGCAACATACCTTCATCTATAAATGCCCTTTTTCGTTCTCCAATCTTCCTCTTACCATCAACTGTTTAAATGTTATCGGGTGGAAAAATCTGCTTGATGTCTTTTTAGACAAATGTGCTTTCAATATTTTTTAGTGAAATAGAGATTAAGTAAGCATTTAATAGCATTCGTGCTGATTACACTCAATCAGGTTTGTGAGACATGATTTCCCACACATGATTATCCTGTTCAAAGAAGAACAGGGATTGGTGGAGCCATAGGCTGGAACCAGCACTTCAAAAACCTTCTTTAGAAAAGGCAGGCTTCTCTGTATATGTATTTTACTTTGGTATCAAAGAATCTAGAGAACAGAGATTCACCAAAGAACAGTTTGTTCTGGAATACCCTCCTTGCATTTCTCCCCTATCTACCTGGCCGCCGTTAAATTTATGTTCAGGCCTTCAGGATTTAGAGAGGGCTGTGACATACTTTTGAGTCACCCTGAGGTGGTATGTTACATAAATTCAAGTTCTTCATTTCTTTCAATTGTGTATACTGTTTTGGATCAACATCTGGGATGAAGGCAACATAAAGTCAGATTTAGAAAATTCCTTTAACCAGAGAAAGAGAGAGGGGACAAGAGCTTAGAATTATACAGTACCTGTAACACAGTAAAACCTCCAGACCAAGGTTTCCTTTAAGCTGGGTGCTGTGTGTGGTCATGTGACTCTTGCATGTAACAAACAGGATTGGCGAACCAGCATTTCTTCTAATGTGCATGTGTGTGGCTGTGTAACAAGAGGAATCTACAATGCATCAAACACGCTGTACACAATAAAGAAAAAATAGTGGGAATGATAGTCTCCTTTGCTTTCAGGATGGCTAAAAGGAGAAGTAAGAGGTAAAGAACTTTAGGGAGAGAACTCCTGAGCTTAGAATTAAATGTAGCCTGATAATGCTCCTAGAAAGCCCTTAGGACCTTTTTACTCAAATAAATGTTCTATAAGCTTGCAAGTTGTTGCTGTAGACAGCTGTATCAATGAGCAACAAAAGAAACAGTAGATATAGAAGAAAAAGAATTAAAGGACTTACTGATTGATCTCAAGTAACAAATGCTCATTGTTTCCTTTCTTTATCTATCCTGTTCCCTCCAGACTGCCCAAACGGTGCTGGTGGTGATTGTCGTCTTCTGCATTTCCTGGCTGCCAAACCATGTGATCAACCTGTGGACTGAGTTTGGTAGCTTCCCACTCACGGATGCCTCCTTTGCCTTCAGGATAGCCGCACACTGCCTGGCTTACAGCAACTCCTCCGTCAACCCTATCATTTATGCCTTCCTTTCGGAGAATTTCCGCAAGTCCTACCAGCAAGTGTTCAAATGTAAGATCCGCAGTACCTCCCCCTTAAATGATGGCAAGGAATATCGAACACAGTCTGAAGTCATGCCATCTACCAGCTGTACCAATGTGTGAGTTGCAAATCTGGGTGAGGTGCAGCATGGGAGATGGTAATACTGTAATATTCACCATACATGCATTTTATGTTAGTGCAAACAGGCTATTGACTTACTGGAGCCAAAGATAGCAGATTTTTCTGGAGCATGATGCTAGGTATTGAGCAAGCATGAAGCTGTGACAGTGTTCAGGAGGATATTAGGCACAACATGGGAGTAGAATTCAGAACAAAGTTTGCCCTTGACATTCAAAGGATACCTGCAGGAAGAGATGACTGTGCATGTTTACTAGGACAGCAACAGTACACTGAGATTCACTAATTAATGTGATGTGAGAGCACAATGCTTTACATTGTGCATTACTCAAGGAAAAAGGCAAATTGTCATATTTGGCACAGTAACGACAACATTCTCAGTATTTCATCTCATGTCTGACCTCAGATTGAAACATTAACTCTTGATTGTCTGCACAGCTGAGTAAAAGTTTTAGCATTGCCCACCTTTAAAGGCCTTACAACTTTGTGAATGATATGCCAATAGGCCACATAAGACAGTTGACATCATGAACGGAAATTGTCCACAGCCAAATCAGATAGAAATTGAAATATTCTGATTGTTTCCCTTTGACCTTATCATTTAATGTCTTTTCCAATTTGTTCCCCCATTTTTTCTTCCCTCCTTTCTGATCCATAGCTTTATGGATAAATCCAAGACAAGTGGATTGGAAAGATGTTTCAGAGATAGTAGGAACTGCAGATGCTGGAGAATCTGAGATAACAAGGTGTAGAGCTGGATGAACACAGCAGGCCAAGCAGCATCAGAGGAGCAGGAAGGCTGACGTTTCGGGCCTAGACCCTTCTTCAGAAAAGAAAA